GGCTAACAGCCACCGATGGGCCTCTGCTCCATATGCTTATGGAGATTTTTCTCCAGAGGAACTGATCTTTGTGGTCTGGAGATAAATTGTAATAGTGGGAGATTACCAGGCCCCACCTGGAGGCAGGCAACCATAATGTCACCTCTGTAACAAACCCCTGTAAATCTGTTTGCTGGGTGCAAAATGGGGGTGAGCATCTGCCCTATGAGCAGTGACCTGCTTCAGTCCACTTTCTGGGGGAAATTCTTCATCCATTGTCTTTGGCTTTCTAAGTATGTGCATATCCTTAAGTATTTCACATATAAAAAGGGGGATACTTGTGTATCTGCACTTTACTTATTTCCACATTTTTACAATCGTGGGAATAAGTACATTACAAATACAGACTTGTAATCTAGAAAAATAAGCAGTTTTATGGTATCTTATAGACTAACAAAATGTTATTACAATGTGAGTACATTTTGTGTGCTAGGGCCTACCTGCAAGGATGCAAAGTGTTTAGTTATTGCTGGAATGAAATGTTGTTAAATGGTAAGGTGTCACAAAATGCCAGTTTATTTTATTGCAACAGACTAAAATGGCTATATTTCTGGAACTGTAAATTACAAGTATTTTCATGCACTGTGTGAATTCCACCTCCACCCCGAAACATTGCTGAAGACCATTCTCCAGCTGCCCAGTGCTGCATTTGTCACTTTGCGTATCCTGACACAGCTGTCGAAACATGTCAGTAGGCTTCCATAGCAGATTCCTTGTTTTCAAATTTAAGAATACGTAATGGCACACACAGTGGATGTCCTTCTTGCCCTATTTACAAGGCACCTATAGCCTTGAATTCAATCCATGAACAATAGGCTTTTAACATATAGTTATTTTTAAAAGGAAATAAATACACCTGATTGTTGTTATGAAGCATTCTCTTGAAGGCCGTACTATTTAGGAAATACTATAATGGATGAATTGCTTATAGGAAGATTATTAAGACTTTCTATTACAACACTTCTGATAAAATTTTTTATTATAACAGTAACTCTGCAGATAAATTATTAATCACAGCTGAATTGTTAACAGTTTTAAAAGTTGCAAAAAATTGGATTAGTACTTTGCTCTAAATGCAGTTCAGAACAAGCAGACAGGTAGCTCAGGATTTCCCCACTCATCCATTTTATACTTATAACACTCTTGTTTGGTAAGAGGTTGAGAGAGAAGCAATGGACCAAAGGTCACCCCTTACTTCTCTTTTGGTAAATGTGATGAAGTCAAGCATGGTATAGGTACAGAAATCTGACTTCCAGTATTGAAATTATAAGTGTTTAATAAAAGAATAAATCACGTACATAATTTCTGTATGCGGCAGAACTGAGCAAAGATTAAAAGAAAAAAATAATAATTCCAATCCTTCTAACCCTGTTCTACATTTATCATAAGAAATTAAGAGCCATGCTGGATAGGGTTGCCAAGTCCAAATTTACTTACTGCGGGGGAGTCCTGCGCCATCCTGGGAGTCCATGCTGCTGCAATGACACCACCCGGAAGTGACGTAATCACGTTGGCACGTTGGGGGCGGGGCCACTAGGATTCGAGGAAGAACCATAGAGTTTCCCCTCAAATCATAGAGCGTCCCGCCCCCAACGTGGCCAGCGTGATGATGTCACCTCTGGGTGACATCATCACGCTGGGGACGTGTGCCGGAAGGGGGTGGAGTTCCCCCTGGGGCCCGATTTGCTGGTGTCAGGTAACGGGCCTCTCGGGCGGGGGCTTACCTGCCCCCCGGGGGTACTTGGCAAGCCTATTGCTGGATCAGACCAAAGGCCTATCGAGTCCAGCATTCTATTCACGCGGTGGCTAACCAGCTACCTTTAGGAAGCCTACCAACTGGAAGATTGCAACTGCATCATCCTGCCTGTGCTCCTCAGCAACTAATTTAAAGAGGCATGCTACTTCTGGTACTGGAGGGAGTAGATATTCATCATGATTAGTAGTCATTGGTAGCCCAGTTCTCCATGAATTTGTCCATCCCCCTTTTAAAGCCTTCCAAGTTGGCAGCCATGATCACATCCTGTGGTAGGAAGTTCCACAAATTATATGCTTTGTGAAGAAATACTTCCTTTTGTCTGTCATGAATCTGCCACCCTTCAGCTTCAGTTAATAAGCCCAGGTTCTAGTTTTATGAAAGAGGGGGAAAGTTTCTTCCCGTCCACTCTCTCCACATCATGCACACTTTTATAAACCTCTATCATGTGTCCCCTTACTTACCTTTTTTTCTAGGCTAAACAGCTCTAAGTGTTGTAAATGATCCTCATAAGGCAGCTGCTCTAGCCCCCAATCATTTTGGTAGCTCTTTTCTGCACCTTTTCAAGCTCTACAATATCCTTTTTTAAAGTGTGGTGACCAGAACTGTACACAATATTCCAAGTGTGGTCTCACCTTGGATTTATATAAGGGCATTGTGATAGTGGCAGTTTTATTCTCTATTCCTACCTTTTCATAGCAGCCATGCACAACATTTTCAACAAGCTATTTACTACCACCACAAAGTCCAATGCTTGGTCTGTTGCTGCCAGCTCAGATCCTATCAGTGTATATATGAAGTACGGATTATTTGCCCCAATATGCATCACTTTATATTTGCTCGCATTGATTCTCATTTGCCATTTTAATGCCCCCTCCCACAGTTTGAAGAGATCCTTTTGGAGCTCTTCACAATCTATTTTTGTCTTAACCACCTTAAGTAATTTGGCATCATCTGCAAACTTGGCCACCTCACTACTCATGCCTAACTTCAAGTCATTTGTGAACAAGTTGAAGAGCACCTGTCCCAATACAGATCTTTTGAGGGACCTCACTGCTCACATCCCTTCATTGTGAGAATTGACACTAGATGTTGTCCTTAATAGGTGTCCTTAAATAAGGACAGACACTTTCTTCTTAGAGGTACAAGACCTCAGAAAAGTTCCATTACCTTCATTCTCAGAGCTGGACTTCTCCCATGGTTCCTCAACATGTGGTCAAGATGGGGTCCATCAATAAAGGCTTAGTCTTTCACGCTTGAGACAAAATGGCTAAGAGCAACTAAATGTTTCTGCCTTGTGGTCAGGGTATAATTGATTCTTGCTCTCGCCTTGTGGATCACCCTTCTTTTCAAAGGGAAGGGATACTTTCTACCCTTTGGCCATTTAAATGTTGTATTCCTAGGAATGATTCTTTTGCTGAGTTGTGAGCTGGTATCTCTTTGCTCTCCCCAGGCCAGAGCCATTCACATGTCCATGAGTTGACTCCTTTGAGGCTGGGAATGACCCACCCTGCTAGTGATTTGACTGGTATATTAACTAACCCTGAGAGGTGCTTCCTCACCATAATCCTGTAGTGTATATCCAATTACAGTATCGGATTTGTGGCATTTCTTCATGAGTTCAAAACATGAACTGTAATGAAAATAAATAGGAAATTCTGTCTCATTTTTAAGGGTTTTTTCCTACTGACATAAAGTCTGTACTTATTCACAGCTTGCCTCATTTCATATTTAGATTCTGCATTCACTTTAAAAGATAATGGAGTTTGACAGTGTGGAAAAAGCAGAATTGCACTCATATGAAAAAATATATGCCATTTTTTTCTTTTGCTATTTCAGTTGTTAAGTCACCTTACTAAATTTATACTTTTTGCACAGTGAGTCAGGAATTACAATATATGATTTTAATGGCAAAAAATTCAAGCAATTTCACTAGCAAATGCTGTTCATTTTGTGAGGTGCTTGCCCAAGAAACTTTCTGAGGATCAGATTTCCATACATTTATTATTTCAGTACATATAGGCGTTTCGGTTTTCACAACAGCTAGACAACACCTCCAATTCTTACTTCCTATACAGTGTTTCAGTAAGTGGCATCTGTCATAGCTTTCCCCTTGTGGTCACCCCTGTCTCATTTTCTGAAAAGATTTAGTTCACCTATGTGCATGTGAGGTTGCCCAATCCTTTTCATGAAATTGTTTCTTTCCTGTTTGGGGAAAGCACACCAAAGGACGAGTACACTGCTTTAACCCCTTACCTCCAAGCTGGGAGGGACTCTTTGGGACTAATAATGGGGCGGGGGGGGGGCCAGGGCTCCCAACTTCCAATGAAACCTGACTTATCCAATCCCCCCAGGTCTTGTGTTACTGATTTTTAGGGCTCCAGGCAGGAATATTCAAAACTATCTGTTTTGGCCTTCAGTCACTTGGCCAAATGGGAAAAGCCCCCCCCCCCCACTCATCTATTACCATATACTTCCTCCCTGGATGCAACTCAAGCATTTTATGGCAGGGTTCATAGAGATGTGTATATTTTCCTAGGCAAACAGCCTCTTACCACATTTAGACTTATGAAACAGAATAACATTTCTGTCAATGAAAACAGACATAAATCTACAACTTAACCTTGTTCCATGATCTGATTTTAAAATTTCAGTCCAAGAGGATGAAAAAAAATGAGTAGATGTTCCCCAAGGAATCAAAGTTAATTTCCTGCCTTTACTTTATGACAGAGATTTTCATGCAGTCAAAGGATACTTGTAGGCAAACTTGCCGAGTCAAGTGGCAGAGATGAATGGAAAATCCGTATCTTTTATTGACTGAAAAAGAACATTCCCCAAACAAGCAAAATATATTTAATATTTGGAAGTGTTTTTCCCTTGGCAGGAATTGTGGTGCCTGAAGTAGGTTCAGAGGACTAGAAGATCTTTTGCCTCCAATGTCTGGATTCACAATTCCTCCTGAATTTGTTCAGACTTCTACATACTAAACCTTCAGTCTCCCCAGTTTTTCAAGCACTTGATAGGTAGCTTCTGTCTTCAGTAAATTCACAGTGTTATTGACTTTTACCAACAGAAACAGCAGTTCAGTCAATCAGCTCAAAATGTGTTGGAGTGTTTTCTACTCAAGAGGTCGATTCACTGGTTACATTTTGGTGTTCACCATGGCCTATGAAGACAAAGACAATGGATTCTGGTTTCATACTTCACATTAACTGAATACCCCTTTGGTTTCCTGTTCACCATCCAAAGTGCACATATTTCTGATAGGTTGGATATAGAGTCCTCCAGAGCATGTTCAATAATGATCTTTCTCATGCCCATCAGAGGAAATGCCAAGACTCACGCAAAGTTCATGTCTCAAAATGGCTAAAAAAAGAGCCTCCTCCTCTGTGTTCAGTGTCTTCTGTGTGTATCACATCCCTAATTGTTTGATGCTGTGGGGGAAACCTGCTAATTCTGATGAGCGGAATAAAAATCCCAATAGGTTGATTTTATGTCAGGTTTTTATTCTGTCGTTTCATCAGTTCATCAAAACTGGGCTATTGTTATTAGGATTCTGGGGGTAGGGTGTAGTTTTTGGTTGTTGCTGCTTTTTCTGCTAATGTATTTCATTTTGTGATTATTAATTTTAGGTTTTTTTAATTGAGCCAGTGTGGGGTATTGGTTAGTGGTTAGAACAGGAGTTGTCAACATGACAGCACCTTTCCTGGCACCCACCAAATGTTTTTGAAAGCAGATGAGGCCGGGGGGGGGGGCTCTTGCACAGCAGGGCTTCTGTTTGGCTGTGAAAATTAAAATAATGTTGTTTCAGTGCATCTACCACACAGTGTTGGTTTTATTCTCTCTCTCTCCTCTTTCCCATTGTATTTCTAAATTATTTTTCTCCCCTTCACTTGGGCTTTCTCTGTGTATGTGGGCTCTGCCTCCTGTAGCAGCCATTTTGTGGACAGTTCCTGTGGCAGCCATTTTGTGTCTGTGCCCCCACCCTGTGTCAGAATTTCAAAGATGCCCATGGGCTCAAAAGGATTGGGGACCCCTGGGTTAGAGTGCTGGTTTAGGATATGGGAGATTCAGATTCAAATCACTACTCTGCTGTGAAGCTTGTGTGATACCTTGGGCCAGTCACTCTCTCTCAGTCTAACCTACCTCACGGGGAGGTTATGGGGATAAAATGGAAGAGAGAAGAAGCTTGCATGCCACCCTGAGATCTTTGAAGGAATGGTGGGATAAAAATATACTAAATACTTTGATTATATTTATTATTTTCATGTGTTATTTTTTGTTATGATGTAAGCTACCTGAGTACCTTGTAGATCAGGTGAATGCATGTTTAATATATAAATGAACATAAGAACATAAGAGATGCCAATGTTGGATCAGGCCAAAGGCCCATCCAGTCCAACACTCTGTATCCCACAGTGGCCAGAAATACCAGTGCCATCAGGAGGTTCACCAGTGGGGCCAGGACATTAGAAGCCCTCCCACTGTTGACCCCCCCCCAAGCACCAAGATGACAGAGCATCACTTGCCCCAGAGTCCCTATCTATACCTTGTGGCTAGTAGCCACTGATGGACCTCTGCTCCATATGCTTATCTAATTCCCTTTTGAAGCCGTCCATGCTTGTAGCTGCCACCACTTCCTGTGGCAGTGAATTCCAAGTGTTAATCACTCTTTGGGTGAAGAAGTACTTCCTTTTATCCGTTCTAACCCGACCGTTCAGCAATTTCATGGAGTGCCCACGGGTTCTTGTATTGTGAGAAAGGGAGAAAAGTACCTCTTTCTCTACCTGCTCTTTCCCATGCATAATCTTATAAACCTCAATCATGTCTCCCCTCAGTCGTCGTTTCTCCAAGCTAAAGAGCCCTAAGCGCCTTAACCTTTCCTCATAGGGAAAGTGTTCCAACCCTTTTATCATTCAAGTTGCTCTTTTCTGCACTTTTTCCAAAGCTATAATATCCTTTTTAAGGTGTGGTGACCAGAATTGCACACAGTATTCCAGATGAGGTCGCACCATTGATTTATATAGCGGCATTATGATATTGGCTGATCTGTTTTCAATACCCTTCCTAATAATCCCCAGCATAGCATTGGCCTTCTTTATTGCAGTCACACACTGTCTCGACATTTTCAGTGAGTTATCCACTACAACTCCAAGATCTCTCTCTTGCTCAGTCTCTGCCAGTTCAGACCCCATCAATGTGTATTTATATTTAGGATTTTTGGCTCCAATGTGCATCACCTTGCACTTGGCCACATTGAACCCCATTTGCCATGTGGACGCCCACTCGCCCATCTTTGACAGATCCCTTTTGAGTGCCTCACAATCCTCACTGGTTTTCACCACCCTGAACAACTTCGTATCATCCGCAAATTTAGCCACTTCACTGCTTACTCCCAACTCCAAATCATTAATGAACAAGTTAAAAAGCAGTGGACCAAGTACTGATCCCTGTGGTACCCCACTGCTTACCCCCCTCCACTGGGAGAACTGCCCATTTATACTCACTCTCTGTTTTCTATTAATTAGCCAGTTTTTGATTTTTGAGCTTACTTAGGAGCCTTTGATGAGGAACTTTATCAAAAGCTTTCTGGAAGTCAAGGTAAACAATATCTATTGGATCCCCCTTGTCCACATGTTTGTTCACCCCCTCAAAGAACATTAACAGGTTAGTGAGACAAGATCTTCCCTTACAGAACCCATGTTGAGTCTGCCTCAATAGGTTTTGTTCATCTATGTGCCTACTAATTCTTTCCTTAATAATGGTTTCCACCAATTTACCCGGTATCGACGTCAGACTGACTGGCCTGTAATTTCCCGGATCTCCTCTGGAACCCTTTTTAAAGATGGGAGTGACATTAGCTACCTTCCAGTCCTCAGGAATGGAGGCTGATTTTAAGGAGAGATTACATATTTTTGTCAGGAGATCCACAAGTGTGTACAGGTCACTGCATAGTACAGGTCACTGCATAGCAGTCTTTGCAAGAACTCTACAGGAAGTGGGGAGGGTTAAAGGCTGAGAATGCGTGGCTTGTCTAAAGCAGTCTAGAGAATTCACAGCAAAGTTAACATCTGAACTTGGGTACTTACCAGGTTACAGCTCAGCCATTATATGACTACACCAGCAGTGGGGTGGTTTAAACAAAGGCACCTTATGATAATACGAGTTCTGGAGAGCATGCAGTGGCTTGGCATTGACGGAGAGAACCTTCTTAGCACACAAAATAAGGGATGACCATTTCAGGCTGGAATATGGAAAGTATACTGGGCATTCAATGCAGAGGAGACTAACAATGCAATCCTAAATATTCACACCTTTCTAAGAGCACTGACTTCAATAGATTTAGAAGGGTGTAACTCTAGTTATGATTGCACTATAAAAGACACTTGTGATGGAATAAAGAGATTCACTGAACCGGTTATAGAGGAACAAGACTTGAATAATGAGATTTGAAAATGGATGTCTGGCGTGGAAATAACAACAAGGAACTCATACATATATGCATGAGACTTGGGGGATTATTCAGGAGTATAATTTTCAGTAAATGAAAACAAAAACTGCTTACTGTGGCAGTTTGTGGCAAGTTTCTTCCTTGTTTCCTAGTGACATAGGTAACAGCGTCATGCACTGATACAAAAAGGTGGTGCTTGGTGATGGTTTCACTGAAGAAGTTGCCTCTTTCCAGCTCTCTTATGACGGAAGCTGTGGAGAGATGAACAAGGCATGGCCATGGACAGATGTGTTTTCAGGTGCTGAGTGACATGACCACTTTGGCCCCCCCCCCACTAGGCAAACCAATGAGGGCCAAAATCCATCTATCAACTATGCTTCCTCTCACCTAAGGAATTTTCTTGCTGGATTTTTCTCATCCACTTTTCTGTCTCCAGCAGTGGCCAATCAGATGCCTCTGAGAGCTCACAAGCAGGGCAGGTTATAATGGCCATGCTTGAAGGAGATCCATTGTTTACTTAATGGTAGTAATAATGTTCATGCTGGGATGCATGAATGCCACCTATGATGTAACACTGGTTTACGGACTGAAGAGAATTCTCAGTGATGCACAGGAATCTACACTCAGTATCTCCTGCAGATTAAAGTTTAGGTTCAACCAGCTTTAGCATAAACAAAAATGCATCTCATCGAGGTGGATCCAACTATGCTCCAAGGAGCCTTCCTCTAGCCTAAAGAGTATTCCTCCAATGTAGGTGGCTCTTCCTCAAATGGAAGAGCCATTTAAGTTGGAGGAAATTTTCTTAGGCTACAGGAAAGGCTTCAAAGTTTGCTTAGTAAAGGGGTAGGATGGTGGCAAGATCCACCCCCCACTATCTTTAAACAGGATTTATTTTCAGGCATCCTCCAGGCTTAAGTTGTACTTTATTTGTGCCACAGTATCTAATATGATTAGGGTTGCGAAATCTGGGCTGTGAAATTTCTGGAGATTTGGGGGTGGACTTTGGAGAGGGCTTCGTATGGGGAGAGACCTAATCAGAGTATAATGCCACAGAGTCCACCCTCCAAAGCAGCTATTTTCTTCAGGTGGACTGATCTCTCTTTTCCAGAGATAAGTTGTAATTCTGGGGGATCTTCAGGCCCCACTGGGAAGTTGGCACACCTGATATATGATCCTATGTAGAATTACTCTAGTTCAAGCCCACTGATTTTAATACACTTTGCATATGACTGACTGTTAATCACTGACTGTGTCCAACAGTAAATTTTTTAAAAGCTAGATAAAATGACAGATAATGCCACTGTGGGTGAAAAAGAGAAGGGCCAAGTTGAAAGGAAACCAGCAAGAAGAATCAGGCCCTGAGTCCAGAGTTGCATGCATGCACATACACACGCACATAATTGAGACAATGAACATTCTCAGGTGATGGCTTGTTTACTGCTTCTTAATTGGACACAGCTTTCCAGGGCTCCTTACCATGGCAACCCACAAGATACACGTCTACTTCAATCTCCCGGAAATCTCTAAATATCTGCCAAAGACAACAAAACAAATAGCCAAGTCAAAAAACTCTGAGAAATGCAGACAATTTTCTTGCCCATCCTGTCAGGGAAAAAAATGTTAAGATAGGTGTCCCACAACATCCACATTATTACCACAGGTTCTTTGATCCATCTATTCCTTGATATCAGCTATTACCTTTGTAGGTGATGTCCAGATACTCGTCTATCTATCATATTTTTATTTTGCTCTTCCTTCATGGAGCTCAGGGCAGCATACATGATTTTCTTTCATTTTATTCTTACAACAACCCTGTGAGATATGTTATGTAGAGAGAGAATGACTGGCCCAAGGTTATCCTGTGAGCTTCCAGATGAGCAGGGATGTGAAGCTGGGTCTCCTTAATTCTAGTCCAACCATAGTATCACACCAACTCTCAATTTCTGCCATGGGGAAAGACACCATGTTCATATCTTACCAACTTGGCTCAATGGAGTGTGAACACACCAGTCATTTCCATTACAGATGAGGTTAAAGAGTGGGCTTTAGCAACCAGAGGGAGCCAATGAGAGGGCTTAAATAGGCAGGTTCACCATTACTATGAGATCACAGTCCCAAAGTAATTTAGACCCTTCTTGGAGACATCTTGGACATCTAGCTGGCAATAGTGCTGATATGACAGTGAGTTCTAGGCATTTGAAAGCTTCTCCTCTATAAAGCTCTACCCTGTGACAAATTGACAACTTTTCCTTTTGATTTCATGTGGATCAACTCTGTTATGAGTTGTTCTTTCCCTCTTCTTGCCCCTTACATTTTTTAAGGTCTTTATACAGACAGTATCTACAAAGTTGACAGGAGTGAAGTCAAGGATGAGAGAGTGAAGAGGAGGTTTTTCAACCCCCAGAGATTCCAAGGTGGGTTTGTAACAAGGTTGTGGCTGGATGTTGTTTTGAGGCTCCAAATCCTTCACACTTCCATTATGCTCAGGCACTATTATGTCACCGCCATTGCAATCACCACCTGGCTCCTGTGAGAAAGAAAAAAAAAGAGTTGTCTAATATTTGACAGTTTATTGATCAAAGGGTATTCCTCTCTGTGCCTATGATATCCCAGGAGATGGACAGAGAGCTAGAGCACAGGTCCATTTCTGATAGTCTTCATTTCTCCTGTTAACTTACAACATGAGAGGATTCCCCCTTAGTCTAGAGCCTAGTAACTTGTATTTTGCTCCTTAGAGGATCCGTGTATTTGTCTAGTAAACAGATGTACAAGTTCTCCCTGTAATGATCGTGTCAGTATCTCTTCTATGTGGAAGATGTGGAAAATTGGACATGACACAC